TAGCTGCCTTGCAACAAAGGTACCTCACGCCAAAGGTTGTCTCCATTGCTTGACCCTTGACAATGGATTATTAGGGAAGCTACTTGGGTTTCAGTTCTGGGAATGAAAAGTTCTGGCCTGCACTTGTTCTTCTCCCAGTTATCAGCCTTTACAACAAAACAAGCAGGGCAGCAGGCAAGGCTGCTCTCTTTATTTAACGAGCTTTAAAGCACATTAGAAAAAGAAATCTGAAAAAAAGGTTTAAAAACGTCACAGGGTTCAGAGAATGAAATTGCCTTTCCTCGGTCAGAGTAAATTGAGACATTTATAAAATATCTTAGTGCCAAATGATGAAAGAAGTTATGGTCTTGATTAGTTTAAATTTGCCCTAACTGCTTCTCAACAATTTAAATAGGAAAAGAAAGTTCATTCATATCAGATTCAGTTTTAAAAGGCATACTCCTTTAATCGGAAAAGGGTTAGAGACGCCATAGTATATGCTTTGCCATTGACAGAAGACCATTTCCAGGAGTTTAATCGATCTGAGACATTCTTTCTCTCTCTCTGTTATCGTTTCAGTGTTACTGATTAAAATGAAAGATAGAACGAAGACCTGGCGTTCCTGACACTGCGAAAAGTTTGCCTGCACTTTCGATGTTTGCGGAATAAGACACAGATCTGATATCAACTTCACCACAGAACAATGCAAGTAGATTTCAAAACACAAATAAGATTCTAGACACAAATACGATTTCATAGAATAGGCTTTTATTTAATAGTACACGCACTGCTGGATTAATATTAGACAGACTGACAAAAAATTGGTTTGTTTATTGCACACACTGGCAAGAACCTTTTTTTAAACAACATCATTACACACTTTACACGCCCCAGGCCATTTCCTGCGCAAATGTTTTCATTTCAGGAAGGACTAAATCGTGCATACTGGGATTGTATTTTCTGCAGGGATTTACATGGAATGACCGATATAAGGCAGCGCTGTAGTAATGTTGATCAATTAATATAAACGCTGAGTTTTATTTTCTGGAGATAGTCAGTAAGGATGGGGCGACGCTAGAATTTAAAGCAAGATTGCAAAAGAACACTGTGCACTTACCACAGGCTCGTTCGGACAGTTTGAGCAGTCTTTTTTTTAGTTCTTCCTGATCTGGTAACACACTGATGCATGCATGGGCTGACTATTTGCAAGTAACGCTGGCATGGGGTCTGCAGCAAACTGAGCTCAATCAATACCCATTGCACTCACATGCCAGATGGCTTGTGAGGAAACCAAATAAAACATTTCAGATCGACCTATCAGCCCTCATCTTTTTTTTAACTGTCGGACATTCTTCACGAACGCAATGTCAATCGGTGTGAACATGATGAAATGAAACAAATCTGTAAAGGTCCATTTGTAAATTGGAGTTAGAGCTTCTTTCTATTGCATTCTGTTTTTGTTTAAGTTAGTCAGTTTTTGTTTAAATGCGCCATAGACGAGCTGCATTTAAAATAGGGAATCTCCAGTTTAAAATAGGCCTCGATTGAAGCAGATATTAATCGAACTAATAGCGATTTTTATCAAGATGACTTATTCCTTTTATTTTAATCATGCAGCAAAATTTAAGAGTGGTCCCTTCTAGTTTTGTCTTCAAATATATGATAAACTCACACTCAGTTTGGTAGTGCATATTTATTCAACCAACACTCCAGCTTTCTTTTACTATTGAGTTCAGATGCTTGGCTGGACTCACCTGCGATATTAACCTCTATTCCTCTCTGTCAGCGGTACATGTCCACCCATTTTCTGCTTTCATGTCAAATTTCCGATTTTTTCCCATCTGTTTCTCTTAACATTTTGTCTATTTTTGCAAACTTTCCACCAAGCAAAATCTTCTATTCGAAACAACTGAAACGGTTCGGGAGTGTTCTTAGTTTATCACGAATCCTTAAGCACCGTGCAAAACGCTCTGCATGTCGCGGATTGATTATTTAAACAAATCGAACCTTATTGAGCCTATGCTAATTTTTCACTTCGTATAGAAGTAGGATCGAACTGCCGAGCCAACAAACTAAGCGATATAAAGTTAGATCTTTTCTATAAATACAGCGAGGTGAAAACTAATGTTAAAACGCGCTTATAAAATTTAGTGTTAACTGCATGGAAGCATTTCTCTCTCTCGGCCTGTAAATCGGCACACTGTTTCAAATTGCTCTACACAAAACACTAACTAGACGGAGGACCCTGGAGAGGGAAGAGAATGACGAGTTAGACAATTTGGGTAGAGGACCTGAGAGAATAGATGACAAGAGAGGGATAGAGAAAATATCGACAGAGAAAAAATAGAGGGCACAACGAGAGGAAAGAGTGTGAACAAGCGATAAAGAGAATGTGGAGAGAAAACTATGGGGAAGGGGTGGATACCGAGAACATATAAAGAAAAGACCAATGTAGCGCATGACAAAAAAACAAGAAAGAACGATAGGCCAAGCAAGAAGCGGGAAGCGTGGAAACAAAGGGCGAGAGAGTACAGACAGATTTTAGAAGAAAACGGACAAATATGAAGAGAGGAAGGGAAGAGATGAAGAGAACAAAGAGTGTGGAGATAGGAGAGGAGAGAATCTGTGAACAGCGTGGCGATTAAAAAAAGATAAACCTGCAGGGTGTGGGGAAAGGGGATAAATCCCTGAGACAGTGTGATCAGGAAGGGAGGAAAGCAAAGAATGTCGAAGAGTGATTCCGATAATCTCTGCCACAGAATCAAATAGTAGATTATTCAGTAAAGTAGTCCAAATTTTCATGTTTTAGAAAGCAGTTGCTAAAGTATTACTTGAGCTGTGAAAACAAGCTAAAATTGACAAGCATGAGACCGCAATTATAATTCGATGTCTTGTATTTCTTGAAATATGTAAATTAGTGTCAAGCATCTAATACTTTAAGTCACCCTTCATCGCAAACTAAAACCTAATAAACACACAGTCGCACCTAAATGGTCGAGATAATGCACTGATCCTTGTGCTCATCGCTAAAAGCAGCCTGTCACTTGCTGTCTTCTCCTCTACAGTGTATGACTTTTAAGTGTAACTAACGCTGTGGCTGACGTTGGTCGCACAAGATGCAATGAAAGCTTTCTTTTCCCCCAGACGCTGAAATTCGCTTGTTGTAAATCAATCCTCCAAACAGAACAAGTACTCCCTGCAACTTCTCTAGTTTCTTACAAGTTTGGCATCAGCTATAAGCCAGCGGAGGGGTATTTATCCGTCAGACCCCGCCGCTCCTCCCTGACCGATGATCGAACGAAACTAGGTCATGCATTGCAAACTCTTGTCCATCCCTGTCCTTAATTACTAACGTTAACCGCCACCCACCCAACCCCAAATAAACAATAGACACATCTGCGCAACCTCCTCACTTTTTTGGGAAAGTCAAAAGTTTCAGGGGAGAATAAAACAGCTGTGTTAGGTTTTACACTTCAGTTCATATTCTTAACCTTTCTTGTTCTCGGTGTCATCCCAACTCCACGAATGCTAAACCGCCTCGCCCATTGGAAAATGATACCAATAATTTAGATTTTTTAAAAATATGAAAAGAAATACATATTTGATTCCAAAGTCCATTCCTTTTTCAAATAATATATATTAATGTCTAATTTTGCTTTAACCAACAATAAAAACAAAAACTATATTTAAAAATATTGCTCCTTTATCATTCACTTGTATTCAAGTCCAGTGGGTAAATATCTTCAGACTGTATGGTTCATGGTTTGGCTATGTTCTGCTTACAATTTGTAGCCGAAATCTGACTACAGCAAACCTTATTCTCAAATCAGAATTACACGAAACAATAGCACTGCCTAAACAATACATTTATGATAATCATAATGAAGACAAAAGGTTCAGTTTGGTTGCTGCAGTTTTATGTGGGGAATCTTATTAATTATTTGCTTAATATATTGAGGAAATTGTGCATTGTCCACAGAAATGAGGCATTTCACCCATTGGTTATCAAGAAAGGTTAAAAAATGAAATAGTTTTGGGGAACGTGTTCTGCTGAAGGCAGAAGCTATCATGTTACAAACAGCAGCCAATTTTTAATTGTTTCTAAACTGACGACCATTGCATAAAATTGAATTAATTGCATTTTTTCATGGTTTTAATTGAGTGCATGTTGTATATATTCAAAGCACGGCTCCACAAATACAGGAAAACAAACTCAAAAACGCGTTAATAAAATGATCTGTCAATAAAGTTGTAAATACTTATTTCCCGGGCTTTGCATTGCAAAGGGTTAAATTAGCACAACAAATTTACTAGTAGCTTTCAAATTGACTAAATCAATTAGATGGGTTTTTTTAGAGAAATGAATGTTTGGATTAGACACCCAAATCTGCCAATCAAACGGTCAAATGAATATGAAAATAATAATTGGAATAAGGGGAACCCGGAAGTTAATATTGTTTAATGCTAAGGTCGCTGGCGCTGTGTTGAAGGCTGTTGGCTGGAAAGAAGGGGTGGGTGGGGGAAATGGTGTGGGAGTGGAGCGGAGCCAGATTGTACACAACTCCGTCCACCGAAACTGGGAAGCGGACGTCCCGCCCCTGTCCGCATCGATTGGACAAGGCGATCCCAGTTCCTCGGAGACGGGATGGCTAAGAGGGAGAAGGGGAGCCTGTGATAGGCTTTAGAGCGCTGTCCATCAGAGAGGTTCGCCCGTCCCCCTCTCCTTCAGCCTGGGCTGAACAGTTTAGATTGAACCAAGAGAGAAGCGCGTCTAGGGCTGGCTCCAGCTGCATAAACAGTCGATGTAGGAGGAGGACAGGCTCGGACATGGCGAGAAGCAGCACTGGCCCGGCTGACAGTTATCGGTGATCGCGGGCACCCGTGAGGCCTTAATTTTTATTAAACCTCTCTTCTCATAGCCAGTGTATATGGATGGATGCGTGCAGATATACATGTAGCAAGAAAATCCGCCTGATTTGCCAAGCCCCAGAAGAAACTATTGCAATTCTGATTGGGACTGAATGAGCAACGCGTATAGATGTATAGCCAAAGAAGAGGTTTATGCCATGAACCCGGAGCTGACGATGGACAGCATCGGGAATTTGCACGGTGGTATCAGCCATGAGCAATCGGCGGGCGAGCTGATGAGCAGTCAGCAGCGGCAGGCGGTTTCAGCAGCGGCGGCGGCTCACCGGGAGCTCGCCACCAGGTCGGCGATGGCGTCTATCCTGGACGGAGCCGGCGAGTACCGCCCGGAGCTCTCGGTGCCCCTACACCCGGCCATCAGCATGGCCTGCGATTCCCCGCCTGGCATGGGCATGAGCAGCACCTACACCACGCTGACCCCGCTGCAGCCGCTGCCACCCATCTCCACGGTGTCCGACAAGTTCCCCCACCCGAGTCACCCTCACCCTCACACCCACCCACACCATCCCCACCACCAGCGGCTGGGCGCCGGTAATGTGAGCGGCAGCTTCACCCTGATGCGGGACGAGAGGGGCTTGCCCTCGGCCATGAACAATCTGTACAGCCCGTACCACAAGGACGTGCCGGGGATAACCCAGAACCTGTCGCCGCTGGCCAGCAACCCGCTGGGTAACGGCCTGGCCACCCTTCATAACCCCCACCAGGGCATCCAGGGCTACGGCTCCAACGGCCACGACAAGATGCTGAGCTCTAACTTTGAAGCTCACACGGCCATGCTGGCCCGGAGCGAGCAGCACCTGTCCCGGGCACTGGGAGCACCTTCGGCCGGTATGATGTCCCACCTGAACGGCTTACATCACCACCACCATCACCATCACCACCATCACCACGGCCACTCAAGCCACCATCCATCCCACGGGCCCGTGTTGGCTTCGAGTCGGGACCGGCCTCCCTCCTCCTCGGGCTCGCAGGCGAACAGCTCGGCTCAACTGGAAGAAATCAACACCAAGGAAGTAGCACAAAGGATCACGGCGGAACTCAAGCGCTACAGCATCCCGCAGGCCATCTTCGCCCAGAGGGTGCTGTGCCGGTCGCAGGGGACTCTCTCGGACCTGTTAAGAAACCCCAAACCTTGGAGTAAACTTAAATCGGGACGGGAGACCTTCAGGCGGATGTGGAAATGGCTGCAAGAACCTGAGTTCCAGAGAATGTCAGCCTTAAGGCTTGCAGGTAAGTCCCGGGATAAAGCACCAGTCTGGTCAAGGTTGTGGGTAGAGAATTCATTGGCAATGTTATTGTGTGGGACGGGTGAAGCTCACAGGATCGCTGTTACTGAACCAAAGGAAAATCGTTTCAGTTTCTGTTTACTCTCTGTTTCATCGATGAGGGATTATTGATTGTTAGTGGCTTTTTTGTGGTCAGAGGCACCCGGACCCATAAGACCCGCCAATTCTTATCCCATTCTACCTACTGCAGAGCTCCTTTGAAACCTTCTCCTTTACTGGCACAATAGCTCCAGAATTAGACAATTCAACATTCCCTCAATGAAAGGACACACCCACAATAGTAACGTGCAGCGGCATCAACATCTGATTACCATTCAATTAATATACCTTCAAGATTCACTTAAGGCGTCTAGTGTTGATTTTTTCTCTCTCTGTCTTCCTGATGGACACCGATAGTTGCACGATGCAAAATGCTGCGTGCTGCCGACCTGTTTAACCCATGACAGAATCTAAACTGTTTTGTGTGTGTTTGTGTGTGTGTGTGTGTGTGTACCTCCTTTGTAACACAGCCGTCTTCCTTCCCTTTATTAATGTCAACCCCAGCCTTGTTTTAGAGATCCAGAAGGACCAATATCAGACTATTGTTGTCTACCGGCTCATGCCTCAATTCTGCACTGGATTTACACAATTCGACCGACTGTTGTTAAAATCTACAGCGCTCGGCTAATCCTCAAACCCATGTTCATCCACAACGCCAGTTATCTCTCAACAACATTCTGCCACTGGTTTTACTCTGTTAAATCCGTAAAACGTCAAGTGAAATGTTAAAAGAAAGTCTCAATAAGATTTTACGTTTCAGAAAGTGTGCGGTGCCCGGTGACCAGCCTTCAGCTGTTTTGCACCTATTTAAACGGGTAGGTAAGACAGTGCAGTGCTTTAAGCAAACCTTCGTGTATTGTGGTGAAACCCTGGGATTGAACCCTGGCCGAGCTTCAGTGGTTGGCAATAGGAGTGGAAAATCGGCGGAATTGCATGGCTGCCCTCTAGCGGAGATATTTGCCTCTCGAATTTGAGCCAATTCCTATTGTGTGTGTTTGAGCGCATGAAATTGTATTTGTTTGCAGTTAGGGGCTATTTAAAATAAGATAATTAATATTTCCATCTTTAAACAATAGTCAATAGATTGCTGTTTAAATCTTCTTTCATACCTCATAGGCCTTTTCATACCTCGAGATTCGAGTTCACAAAATAAATAAATGAAAGTCACATTGGGAAAACACTCAACAGAAAGCTAATTTTGTTTCAATCTATATGGAAAATCTCTCTTACATTCTAAAATAAAATAGAACTGTGCCGTTCACACGGCTCCGAAACCCATAATTTAACTTTCGCCCCTCAGAAGGACAATGGAGACAACATGCATTGCAATGTCTTTAACTCGAATCTAGCTGGTTAATTGATTGTACCCTTGAAAATGTAGATTTTAAAGAGATGTTTTTATTTCTCTCACGTTGGGACAATCGGTGGTTCCTGGTTATATTTCCGTAAATTAGTTAACAGCGCAAATAAGAGAAAAATGCACTTCTGAGTTGGTATAATATCTGCCTTTATTTTAATATGCAAACTCTGTTTTGTTTATTTCCGTGAAGATATTGCCACCAATTATAAACAATATTTGTTTCCATGCCGCTGCCGTCAATTTCCGCGTAAACAAATCAGATTCGATGTTGTATACCAACGTCACGTGATATAATTGCTGTAATTACTTTTCCCAATTAAACGTGGCTCTGCATTGAAAGGACAAACTGCGTCCTCGCAGACGGAGAGCCTCAAAAACGCGGTGCACATCCTGCAGGTCGTACGTGACTGCATGTATCTTGCTAACATTCCTTTATTTTTCTGTCCACATTTATGCTTTTATGGATGGTATAACTTAGACCAGGGTAAGGAGATATCTTTTTAAAAAAAACAACGAAACGAGATTGCATTTGATTTCAGAGATTGCAACAAATACGGTGGGGGAGGAGGGAGAGGTGAAATTATTTTAAAACCGTTTTAACATCCGACCATGTTAAAATATTTCCGATCACAGTTCGCCGGTAGAACATTGTCAGAATGAGCTCAATTCAGTCCCGAGAGGCGATGGGCACCGTAGGTTTGTCTGAGTCGCCTTGTGGCCGGCAGCGAATTCTCTTGACCCGAAAAGGTGGCAAGACATTTTGAAGGCTGCCTTGAAATAATCACCCTGTCTCTACGTCCGGTTTATCTACTTGTAAAATTATGTATTCTTGTTAACAAAAAAATTGGTATTATGGCATTTGCTGAACATCAACAAAAATGAAAACCCACGGCAAAGGATGACAGCAGGGGGACAGACAGCAATTAACGAGATTGTAATTAACCATTTGGTAGTTTCGCTACTGTCAAGGAATTTCACAGCGTGTCTCTCACGTTGGCGATCAATTCTGATTAACATAATTAAACTGTTTTGTTTTTGCTGAGCTGATTTGGTAGATACAATCACAGCGCAAAAAGAAAAGGGCTTTGCCACGAGGGTATTTTAAAATAATCTGCTTCATGTGCACCAAGCCATTGCTTGAGGATGGTACATTATCACATCAATTTACTGCCGAATATTCCTGCCGCACATCCCGCAGCAGGACGCGCAAGGTATATATTCTTGCTACACCTTATTAACTCTGGCTCAATGTAGAGCAAGAGATTCAACAGAAAAAAGGAGAGACAACATATCCAACCACTTTGAGGCGAGTAGAGTAAGGTCTTATGCGGGCGCTATTGCTAATTTTTGAAACATTTGTTGAAAGATGGAAAAACACCGGGCAGTTGTCGCATCCTCTCTTTTTATATTTGAAATCAAACAGAAATGTCTGCAAATATTAGTATGCTTACTGGCAGTGCTTTGAAATGGAGCCCAGAAGCCGCAGATATGAATTATTAATGAAAATCTCTGCATGACCGGTTGCAAGCTGCAGTAGTCACCCTGGCCTTGGTTTTAACCAGGCGAAATCTGGGCACTCGTTCACTGCTGGAGCGGATGGCCTTATCTTTCTCCCTCGCGGCGGATCCATACATGATTTATATTTAGATCGCCCACTCGGGCTGAACGACAAACGATTTTTTTTTTGGCGGAGGGGAAGGAATTGCTTCTGAACGAATGCTATGCAAAGGAGTCCCAATGCCAAACATCATTTTTTAAAAGCGATACTCTCGCTGCAGCCCTCAGAGCGGCAAATTGCTGTTAATCCCCGGTAGTTTTATCGACAGTCATGAGGATCACTCATTAGCTCCAGTCGTCAGATTAATAATTGAAACCCTCCCGCTCTTGATGTTTGCCTCTGGCAGCCCCCTGTGTGAGAGAGTAACACCTTCCTAATGTTCAGTAATGTAGGAGGGTTGCTGGGAGCACGAAGGGCAAGGGAAGATACGTGGACGGTTTTTGGGTGGGGGTGTGAGGTCTGGCGGTTGGAGGAGGAGGAGGAGACGGAAAAGAAGGGAAGCAGTTGTATTTATTTTTATCACTGTATTTCAATAATGTGGTTATGTCAATATATTAAAAAATCTGTGTCTATGACCGTGGATCGATGAGGATAATCTTTAGAAGATTAAAAGGGCATTAATGCTGGCAACAATAACATAAACTTGAGAACCCGGTTAGACATTGATTTGGAACTTGATCCGACGTTGTTCCAGGAAAACTGCCATAGTCTTCCTGGCATTGTCGTCCGCATTATCTTCCCTTTGTCTCCCGACAGTTTGAGTTCCCTCCTTGCTCCCATTTTAAAAGCATTTAGTTTGCACGGCCAATGACAACGATAACTCAAGTGTTTTTTTTTAACAGTCGTACTATATTTTATTATCGATTTTCTTTGTTGTTTTTGTATTACGCGACCAAAGGTGTAACGATATTATGAGTCATTTCGCTAAAGTGAATAGGTAGCCATTTAAAGAGTTCCACTAATCCGTTTTAAAAGTAAATTTGGAAACACATAACACACAAGTAACACGAGAAGTTGACATTTTTTTTTCGAAAACTAAAAGAGAAAATGTCATTGAATCGTTTTTATATTTCCCGAGGCCAAGTTAATGTTATCAAGCGTCGAGATTGATTGTGGCATGTGACCTCAGCTACAGTTTGGCACTTTAATCTAGATTAATACGTTTTAAATTAATATGTTTATAATCAGTACTCCGGTGTTGTCACCAAACATATGTACTGTGTTGCTGTCTGACATTCAGGAGCAAAAATTTTAAAATAAAGAATTAGCCAGATGGAAAACTTAATGCGCATGTCCGAGAAAGTGTGTTAAGTGACAGGAAGCCAATTAGCATCAGAAATTGAATTCAAATGGTCTTCTGGTATGTAGCAACCTCGCCGACACAGGTTCGTGAAAACGATGAAGATTACACTTTGATGAAATGCAGACTCCAGGGTGGTTCTGATGTTACGAACCGCCGGTTAAAATTTCATATAATCAAACATTAATTAGGCAGTCTTCTGGGACCCCGAATTAGGAACCAAGGACAGTGTAAAAAGAGATTATGTTTCAGTAGGGGGTGGGACAAACTCTGTCCCTCCTGTCATCCTGTGGTACTGAAAACGTTTGGAGTTTCCAAATGCAATTCAATATCAAATACTGTGTACTAACGGTGTAGAAATCTCAGCGAAGGCTTGAGAGTATCTTTCTGATTTATTTTACAAATGACATTGAAATTATCAGTCTCCTGGTAAATGGGATTTTATGTCCGAAATATACATGTTCTTAAAAAGTATTATTTTGTCTTGACTATTGATTGTTTTAGCAATTCAGTTGATAGGTTGGATTCTGTATCTGTTACTTTAGATCTTTCCGGATCCTTTTACAGTGCCCACATCCATAACCCGAAATTTTGGGAGACATAATGCATTGTTTCATGTTTAATGTATTTACAGCTAAAATATTTAAGAACCAGCTTCATACCTGGTTCAAAATGTGCATAAGATGCATATTGCGTTGGCGGAATAATGCAATAAAATGTCCATTCTAACCTTCTTCTCCCACCAACAGCCGAATTGACACTGTTCATTCTTTCACTGCAAATCATTCCTAGTTGTTTGAAATTCCTCCTGATGTTTAAAACCATCCGTTTCTATACCAGTGCATTAATTTGCCTTGAAATGCTATCAATTGTACTGCACATTCTCCACGACTCCAGAAAATACATTTAAAAATTAACATGGGCACCTCATTTAGAAAACAATTTATATTTTCAAGTCATGCAGCTAAAACTTTATTTGCAAACATAAAACGTCACATAGTCAGTTTGTTTTTCTTTTTACCAGATGGCTTGCCTGCTGCAATCTTTGGTATTATTTAACAAATCACTTGGCACTTTCAAAAGACTGGAGCGATCTTAAACGTTATACATGTGTGCTATACACTATATACAATTTTTAATAGCGTAATTACATATCGATATTTATTGCTCCCCTGAGATCTTGCCTTATTACAAGGACATGTAACACAATCTGAGGAAACAACCCAGTGCATTATAGATGGTCCCGGTGTTGTGCCAATGTCAATTTCTTAACTCCAGTCCATCAGGGCTGCACAGCTTGACCTACATACATTGTTTCCTGACCCTGTTCATGCATAAGGAGAGATGATTCAATTATAAACGCAGAGTAAAACTCATTTTTCAAAAATAAAAGCAGTACTCTGGAGTTAGGAAAATAGAGTCCTTATGACATTGCATTACCATCTCAATGATTGTTGATACTTAATTGACTAGTGTGCCCCTCCCCCTTAAAAAACTCAGTTTTTCTCTTGACGTTCAGCATGTCCTGATAATGATTAGCTCGTGTTTGTTCTGACGAATTCGGCAAAACCTTTCAGGATTGATTTACGTCGCCAACAACTTTTTCTGTGAAACAACGCTCTCGTCTTCGCTATTGCCCTTCGTCTGAATTTTATTTGCTCATTCTTGATTTCAAAATTAGTGGAACATGCTTCCTTTCTGGATTTATTGGACGGCGCTTCGAGCGCCAAAAGCCCTATCACAAAAGAACTTTGCTCTCTCAGACTCTGAGTCGGTACAAACAAGCCTTTGTTTTATTTGTGATATTGGTGGCTCGCTGACATCGATTTTCATTTGTCACAACCCGAGTGAAAAAAAAACAATGGAGAAGTCGCCCAGCGAGGCTCCCCATTTGAGGTTTTATCAGAAACGACGTTCATTTGATGCAGGAATAGGGAAAACCTTCGCCATCGATTACATTGATCCAGCCTTTCCCTTTAAGAAACGGCACGTTTCTTGCATAGAAGCTCTTGCTTAGATTTACTGTTTACCCGGATGCTGTTACTTTTTAATATTGTATTATCATTCGATTTGTTATTACTGAGAAATACAAGAACACCTGAAACAAGTGTTCTACAAGCAGAGGCACAGGGCAGGCAATGACAGAGGGGAGTCATTACCACGAGGATCTGCCGAGTAGGCAATGCACCAACATATGCACAATCTTCAATGTGCTTTCCAGCGGACCCTGCATTCCAGTATTTTTCTCATGATTTTACTTTACAAATATTTTATATACATTGGATATTATCGGTTATCTAGTCTGTAAGTCAGTTGATGTTAATGTGAAATATAGAGAATGTGAAGGATCTAATTTTAAAATGATGAGTTATTCAATTATATTTTTCGCACAATGTTACAGGCAGAATGAGCCAAATATATGTAAACTTTTACCTGGCTAACATCCATACATTATGATGGAACATAATGCGCATTATGGTTTAATTTTGTATTGTAACATATATTGTATATGCCGCAGATTTATGCACACATGTCTACCGTATAGTATATACAGGTAAAATGAAGAAAGGAAACGCAACATTTAAGGCACTAACTTTTCTTCATTGTGAGCTTCCTTCCTGCTGGTTGAAGAACGGTGAATACGCGAATCATTTGGAACTTAACGCGTCCACAATCAGCACATAGATCAAAGCAGACGCATTTTTTCATTTTGTCAACAAAACCTTCTAGGTCGCTTGTAGCTATTTTGCCAGATCATATTAGGGACATAACTTTCTTATAATTTCGTTTACTAAATACATTCCAATAACAAGTAGTGGGAGAAAATCACGTGATCACGTTAGTTAGCTTTTGTTTTACATTTAAAAATATGGCTGGGGGAAAACACTGTGTTTGTGTTAATGCACAGTTGATGCTGGTTGCCCTAAAACCAAACAAGATTAAAAGTAGTTTCATGTAAACAAATGTGCCTCAGTTCATGAGTGGCGTGTCAATTTAGTATTGTTTCATGTATTTACGTCGCTATTGTGATGGTCATTAAGTTTCGTGCTTACTTCGTTAGTTTAACCCAACAGGAGGGAAAGACAACCTAAGTTTGTATTGAATTACAAATATATACATCTATTACCATCTCAAAAATGTACCATCTCAAAAAGGAGCAGAAGCGTTTGTGGTTATTCTAGCCCGGTCTGTGTAACTTTACAGATAATTAGAAGCCATTATTGGATATTTTTTTCATTTGTAATCCTAATGGGTTGTGTGGTTTTGTACTCCATGTCTTCTGAACTCACGTTTGGATAAATAGTTACGTAACAGCAAAAGGAAATTGCAAGACTACTCCGCGCACTATAACGATCGAGCAAGGCATAAAACATCTGGCGAATACAATGGCAGAGCGGGCAAACACTGAAGAAAGCGACAGAGAATACGGAGAGACAAAGAGAACGGACGCACAAGACTGGAAAAGGCAAGGACTGCCGCAGATGGGCTTACAGAGATGGACAGGCATAAGTGTCTGACAAATAATAAGAGGTTGTGCAGTCATTACATACATCAAGGTATGGGCCTACAACACTATTCATTCACTGCTAGCAGTATTTTTAAAAGTTGAGCAAATGATGCCTTGCACTCTGGTTAGAGAAAAATTGTGCTGGCAAATGGAATACGATAACAGGTATAGTGTATTTATATGCTTTTAAATTTAGCAAAGCAAATATAATTTTTGTTGTAGTCTAATCCGTGCATTTTGCACGTGGCAAGTCTTTACTTACCTTGGGTCTTTCCAGTAGTAATTAACCTCATCAAATTGACAGAAGTGCAAGAATCTTCATTACTAATGTTGTCAACATGGGAAGCTGTTTTGTTGTGTAATCTGCAATGGGCGTAGTTGCAGGGAAATGCAACAACCTTTCCAAACGTCTTGCGAGCTCCTATAGCAGTGTACCTGAGTACAAAATCACCAGCAAAGTATGCTTAGGCCGAGGAAGGTACACAAACGTTCACTGGTTTAATAAATAGCAGTGGTGGGAGCTAACAATTGCCTGGCATTTAAAAACGATCATTGTTCTGTAAATGTTGTGACTTGTTAGAAGGGCGTCAATCTTGGTGTTCAAGATTTGCTTTAACCAGACCGCCACGTATTTAGGTTGCATCTTTCTGGTTTATTTCGAGAATGAACCACATTTGTTAAACAATTGAAAGAACATTGTAGCAGTTAATGGGTTTGTTAGTCGTTCCTCTGAGTTCAAAGGGTAAGGTTCACCCTTGGTACAGCTAATTGATTTCTTTTA